CAAGAGTTCAGGCTATGATCAGAGCTCAACACTTTCCCATTTAGTTCTAATCCTTTTAAATGGTAGACTGGAGATCTGAGCTCAGCTCTCAAATTATATCCACTGAACAAAAATCAAAGATGACATAACAGATATCTTTAGTTCCCTTGTCCACAGAGCAATCAAATTCTTAAATAAGACTTTCACCATAACTGAAAATTATTAGCCAGATCTTTCATAATTCACCACCTTATCACATGTCATTTAAGTATAATTGACACTAGACTAGTCTGAATTACTGTCAACACATTTCATAGTTTAATCATAATTTACAAACTGTTATCTCACTCTACCAAACGCTCTACTTAATCCATTATCTCAATATTGTTCATTTTTCTTTAAAACTCTTCAATAATTCCCTCAGTATTGTTATTATAAAGACTATTTTAAAGTAGTTAGTAGATAATAAAGTGATAATTACAACTCACTAACTAGTCAATAACCGATATTTTATTATAACCATCTATTCTTATTGGTATATAATAAAACGTAAAAAACACATCTGATGACCCAATATTCCATGACTACTGTTGACTATACTAGTCAAAATATCAACAATACATGGATATCTATTGTAATCAAAATAATAGTCATACCACCCAGGTTTATTGTGAAATTACTCTAGGTGGACCAGTACTCAGTACTTAATTTGACAAGGCCATAAAATGATGCAGATACACCAAGAATTATTGAAATTGAAATGGAAACACAGTTTGGAATTAGATTCATAAAAATCATTGAAATAAATAATAACAATCACTGAAAAGAACACATTAAAATCATGAAAATTTACTCAAAATCATTAAAATAAACAGTCGAACTCATGAAACTCAACACACCAAAATCATGGAAATAGACAAATTAACACCTAACACATATAAAAGAGCCACGTGATAATCATGTAAATGAAAAGCATTAAAATCATGGAACTGAAAAGCATCATAACCAATGAAATGCATCACAAATATTGAAATGAAAGGGATCACAATTAGTGAAATTAAATGCATCACAATCATTGAAATGAAATGCCTCAAAATCGAAGAAATTTATTGAATATGTTTGTCAAAATCATGACAATAGGCCAATTGTTCCTGATAATATTAATATCTAGTGAAATAATTTGTTATTTAACTGGTACTGTAATTTCATATTCATACTTAATATAATAATCTCTCCTAAACAAAAATTATCACGAAAAACACAGTAATAAGTATACATATAATTGATTATATAATTTGTGATAACAATTTGTTATTGTTAATGGAAAATATCAATCAATGATAACAAAAAGTAATTAACTTCTCAATTAGGAAAAAAATTTCATTGCTCTTAACCATAGATTTCAGTTGCAGAAAACAATCTTATGATATTATTTAAATTGATTCACTAGATTTGAAAATAGAGCAATATTTTTCTGAAACAAGTAATGATTGGATAACTCATTTAGTAAACATTAAGACCATTAGAATCAAAATCAAAACATAGTTCTCTATGCAATCAAAACAGTCAGTTATGCAATCAAAACATAGTACACAATCAAATCACAGTCAGCTATGCAATTAGAACATACTCATTCAATGATTTAAGATAACTACTCTTGGACAGTTTTTTAGTTTATTTGATTGAGTTTTGTCAAGGCATTCTCCCTCTGCATTAACACATGATGACACTGTATAATGAGGTGTTCAAACTTTGTAACTATTTCAGAGAGTCAACATGGTCTATTGATTTAGTATGTCTATTGTTAGTAAATGATGAATGTGTTTAAAATACAAACTGTATATTAGACTTGCAGAAATATATTTGGTGAAAAAGATCAATACTCACAGCAGTTTATTTATTGAAGGGATAAACTGATCCATATGGCAATTTATAATAATATTGATCAAACAGATTGATATAAGGGGCCATTATTGTGATCAAGTGGTGAAGGCCTTATTATTGATAATTAGGCCATATTATATATAATAAATGTATTGTCAAGTCCTAAAGTTAGATTTTATACTAGGCAACAATATAAACATTGTAGTCTCGAGTATCCAGGTGATATAGTTCTCGTACATTAATTATAGATTTCAAATAGTCCTGATGTCAGGTTAATTATGGTGTTTTCTATTCTAAACATAATGATCCCTTATCAAATAGGTCAGACAAATGTCATATCTTATGTCACTATTTATCTCTACAGATCCCTTTTACATGTTATCTAAACTAGTCAAAACTTCCTACATACAAAGAAGACCTTATAAATCTTATTTTTAAGAATGATATAGAAATGTCAGTGATGAGAGTGTCCCTTTTCAATTTTGTAGTTTGCGCTTTTACAGCAATGATCCTTTTTTATAAAAGAACTCTGATAACAGGAATGTTAGATAGTTACTCCAAATGGAGTATTTGGCACAGAAAACTTATGTCATTATAATCAACTGACAGTGACAGAACATGTTATACACTCGGAGACAAGAAGAATTGTAAATCATGTTATACATAGCTAATTATCAATCAAATTCACCTTTATTATTCTAACCATATAATTATAAATTTATGTACCACTTTGACACGGATTATCACACAGCTGTTGAACTTTGACAAGGATAATCAAACAGCTCTTGGAATTTGAAAAGGATCATCCAACAGGGCTCTTGGACCTTGACAAGGATCATCAAACAGCTCTTGGACTTTGGCAAGGGAAATACACAGATTATCACACAGCTCTTGGACTTCAACAATGAAAATCACACAGCTATTGGGCCTTAGAAAGGATATCACACAGCTCTTGGGACTATGACAAGGATCATCACACAGCTCTTGGACTTTGACAAGGATCATTACACAGCTCTTGGACTTTGACAAGGATCATTACACAGCTCTGGGACTATGACAAGGATCATCACACAGCTCTTAGGACTATGACAAGGATCATCACACAGCTCTTAGGACTATGACAAGGATCATCACACAGTTCTTGGACTATCACAAGGATCATTACACAGCTCTTGGACTTTGACACGGATCATCACACAGCTCTTGGGCTTTGACAAGGATCATCACACAGCTCTTGGACTATCACAAGGATCATTACACAGCTCTTGGACTTTGACAAGGATCATCACACAGCTCTTGGACTTTGACAAGGATCATTACACAGCTCTTGGACTTTGACAATGAAAATCACACAGCTCTTGGGTTTTGACAAGGATCATTACACAGCTCTGGGACTATCACAAGGATCATCACACAGCTCTTGGACTTTGACAAGGATCATTACACAGCTCTTGGACTAGGACAAGGATCATCACACAGCTCTTGGACTTTGACAAGGATCATTACACAGCTCTTGGACTTTGACAAGGATTATCACACAGCTCTTGGACTTGAACAATGAAAATCACACAGCTCTTGGACTTGAACAATGAAAATCACACAACTCTTGGGCTTGGACACGGATCATCATACAGCTCTTGGACTTTGAAAAGGGAAATTGCACAGCTCTTGGACTTGGACAAGGATCATCTCACAGCTCTTGGACTTTGACAATGAAAATCACACAGCTCTTGGGCTTGGACACGGATCATCATACAGCTCTTGGACTATGAAAAGGATCATCACACAGCTCTTGGACTATGACAATGACAAGGATCATCACACAGCTCTTGGACTATGAAAAGGATCATCACACAGCTCTTGGACTATGACAATGACAAGGATCATCACACAGCTCTTGGACTATGACAATGACAAGGATCATCACACAGCTCTTGGACTATGACAATGACAAGGATCATCACACAGCTCTTGGACTTCAACAATGAAAATCACACAGCTCTTGAGCTTGGACACGGATCATCATACAGCTCTTGGACTTTGAAAAGGGAAATCACACAGCTCTTCTAATTGGACATGGATTATCACACAGCTCCTGACTTTGAGCCATATAGTAAATTCAATGGAATACACCAAGATAATCTCTTAATATAACCATTTATTCAGTTTCAAAGTTTGTAAGTTTGAGGTAAAAATTTCCAGGAAAAGTTTCAAGATTCGTAATATAACCTATATTGTCAAATGTCGATGTACCTATAAATAACTTACTGTGCAACAGGACTAATTGACCTACAGATAGGGATCAGGTCATGTATTCTCGAAACAATGTGAACGCTAGGATGTCCTAGGGTCTTAACCTCTAACACAGTTCCTAGCGCTAGGATCGTTTTGAGAATACGTAGGAGGTATAATATAAAGATGCTAAACCAAGTTTATCAAGTATTGTATTAAAGGCCATCTTCACCATCCATTTGATCAATCATACCTTAGTTTCTAAAATGAATTGTTTAGCAAGCTAATCACTAATAATATTTTTAGCTAACCATCAAAATTTGAGCTTTCTTATCCATTAGTAATTATCATAATTATCTGAGTTAGTTTGTGAAATTGATGACACATCTTCTCCAGAAAAAAAAAAATGTAGAAGAGCACTAACATTCATAAATGTATTTTTTATAATATCTTATGCTGTCATTTAGCTTGAAGTTAGATGTAATATACATCACAATTATTCAGTCGTATGGCCATTTCTGCCAAGGCATGTACAAATCAGTTTTCCTGAAGGACCTGGTCAACACAATGTACTATACAGGCAGGAGAGAAACGAGTGAAGGTGGAAATAAAAAATGAAGGGAATATTTGGATGGGTTATGCAATTTTCAAACAGTTCTAGTATTTCTAAAGACTATTTACATGTATTCAAGACCAAAATCAACCCCTCAAAAAAACAGATTGTTTCCCTTTAATGTTCAAGAATACTGTTTTCTACAGCAAGCAGTTTTAAGGTATTTTTTGAAAATTGAATGCAACATTAAAATCAAGATTATTTTGAGACATAAAATTATATTTTTACATTGCCCTAGAGTATCTTTATAAGTATATAAACAATATATCGCTCGTAAATAATTAAAACCTACCTCCTCTGATAAAGGACAAACAGTTGATAAATATTGCAGAAGTTGATAATGTTCACCCACTCTATAATGTCGACCTTCACCTTGACTATACAACCATTCAGCCAATAATCTGAAATTACAAAATTAAATACTAATAAATTTTCTTTCGAATTATGTTTATGACCATGGAAACAACATTGGTTTCAATTCAAAATGAAATTACGCTTATTTATTTATACTAACAGTTACAGTTTAGAATAATATTAGTCTAATTAGACCAAACATTTTCTTTATTAGCTTTTATATTTAATACAGCCACTTAATAATAAAATATAATCTAATATTAATTAGACTTGGAAAATGTATGCAAATACTAGCTTCTTAAAACTTTTAAATAACTTGTAACAGATTACTTACTTTTCTTTCTGAGAAATACCATAACCATCTAATATCTTTAATCTAAAACACCAGTTGATTATATAAGCTCGATAGTCAAACAATGTGATATAAGTTAAGTCAAATGATTCCTTTCAAAATGTGTAGAGAAATGGACTTAAATTTGTAGAGGAAGACTGACGTCACTCAGAAAAATTGAAGTTAATCAAAAGATTATGTGTATCAAGGATAATTCAAAGTGTAAACACAAGGAGTTAACATTTTTGAGTTAAGTCTAAATAGTATAGTTTCAGTTATTCTATATCTTAACAAATTTGATCCATTTGGTAACATTTGGAAATGTGGCTCTTTCAATTAAAATGATATTACAGACATTGTAATTATTTTCATGTTAAAAGGATATATATCTGTTGATGTAACACAAGGGTTCCTGGCAATTGATAATTGTTCTAAATTTTCCAAACAACTTAAATAGGAAATCTGAAAAAAATTATGAAATACTTAATTACGTTGACATGACATACGACATTAAATTATTTATGTAATCTTCAAATGAGATTGTTCTGCAATATTCTGGACTGATGAATAAGCTTATCCAAACAATGTATATTGTGTAAGAATTTTATATTCACAGCCAATAATACCAACTTGCACATGAAGTTTCATTGATATCACAATATTAATCAATGACAAGATTTATACAGCCTGAATGTCCACGGCTTAATTTGTTTGAGGCAAGATAAGAAATAAATACCTCAGTTAAATCATGTATTTCATTAGACTCTAATGATAAAACAGCTAAACTGGCTGGTAGACAGGCTGGTACAGGCTTTAAACTGTTTAATATATTACCATGTAATAGTAAGGTCTACAAAATACAATAAAATCATACACCCGTCATTTTACAGTACAGAACAGCAAGAATAGAAATATTTGAATGAACTGTGGGGAAAGTAAACAATATGAAACTGTCACCTAATTGATGCGACAGCTAGACACATATAATCTGGCAAAGACATCTATGCAAATTAAAGGGACAATTCTAGAGCAAAATACTAATTTGTCTCCAGGAAATTTAAGCTATTGAAACTATCCGAGGTGTATATTGTCTTGAATAAGCATACCTGTAAACATATAAGGGGAGATAAATCTGTAATAACTTCTATATTATTATCTGATAAATCTAAATGCCGTAGTTGTGTATTATGTTGTAAGTGGGAAATAATCTGTAAAGAAATTAATGATAGAGAGTAAATATCATATATCACATATTTTATTTACACATTCATCCAAATAGTGAATCCGATGAGAACTATAGTCTTTAAGTGCTCCCAAACAATGTTGACTGGCAGACCCGAACGACAGGGACAATGACAATATACAGACACATTTCCATGTGGGCTTGTAAAAATCGACAATTGTCCGAACATTAAAATATATTTGAACTTTGAACTTACCTTGATGCTATTACCTGATAAATCTAACCATGTTAAATAAACTAGCTCTTCTAAACCTAGAATTACACATAATTATCACAATCAAAAATAAAAGAGTCCGAGCAAAATCAAAAGTTTGGCATTAAAAACTTCATTTACGAAATATAATTCAATTTCAATGCCAACTATCAATAAAAAAAAATAATAATAATACACACAAACAACTTCATAGGTAAATCTACCAAACAAATAATCAATTACCTTCAATATTCACTATACTATTGTTCGCTAGATTTAAAACATTTAGTTTCTTCACCACAGAAATTCCATTCATACGAACAATGTGATTATTAGCCAGTGAAACCTGAAACAGAAAGATACAAAATTGATACAAAACTAGGACTGGCCACAAGATTAATTATCAAAAAAAAAAAAAAACACATGTGAAAAACAATTTTGCTACATTGCTTCTCTTGTTCCTTGCTGGATCCTTGAATCTTCATCAATAACTAAGCATACAAATATTTAATTTATAATTATTCCTTTTTGTACAAATGTACAGACTGGTACCTGTATCTCATCTATTAATATAAATTTTTACCTGTTCAAGATAGGGGTGTTGTTCCATGCTCTCTATTCTTGTAATATCATTGTCATCACATATCAATCCAGTAATAGGCTCCACATTATTTGGTATTTCAATTGATTTTAGACATTTATTTCTTAAATCTAGTACAAAACCATTTGTCTCTAAAATATAAAGTTTAAAATTTGTATCAAATTGATCTGGTCACTAGGTTAATTCTCTTCACAAGAACCTGCCCTGGCACATAATATGTTTAGTTAGCAGACTGGATAATTACTGTTAGATCAGAGACTGATGAATTATCATACACGAATACAGCGGATATCACAAGTTCATATTGTAATGTAACAATTGTAAGTCGGCCACTGTCAGCGTGACAGTTCATGACCTTCTGTGATAGCCCATCAATTCGCTGTGAAAGACAATCAAATCATTAATAACCCTTTGGTAAAATGGCATTCATAAAATATTTCATATCTTCGAATTGCTTTCAATCCTGTGATAATGAAATATAATTTGGTGTTGACATGAAATGAACAGACTTCCAGAATGATTATGTTTATCGTCTACATATTTGACTATGGAAGTACATACAAAGCATCATGCACTGAGTATTGCGTCATTTCTCACTCTCAGTCTCAATGACTCCTCACTCTCAGTCTCAGACACTCTGAGTTTTGCTGAGTCTTTCGTCGTCTCGAATTCTGGTTTGTTGACATTGGTTACTTTGAATCTTATTACACCTAACATTCTATATTTTGATTAAAAATAATTCACCTCTTATGTCATGTGAATGGTTATGATATTAACCATGTTAACATACACACTTTCGATCGTTTGGACAAAAAATTACAGTAATTTATTGGAATAAATTGATTACCTTCTTCGAAATCCGCCATTTTGTCATTCCCGCTTGCAGTATCGAAGTCGAAAAAATGTTTATTTGAAAATATAATTCTCAATTTGTCAACAAAAATAATTTTAACTACTTTCTCGTAATTTGAATTATTTTGGTAAATTTAAAAAGCTGTAAATTTCAATGACCCAATGATTGTGTTATTTTATTTTGCTGCGCACCTGACATATGTACATTACTATTTCCTTTTCCGGCTATCATCATGAAGTAAGAACGACCAAATTTATACTATTCAATTAATCTATCTAATCCATTGCTACTAATCTTTTTTCAGTCCCGCCATGATGTTCACCTTAGACATTAAAAGATGTTCTTTCATTTTAGGATCGAACTTTGTTCGTACAGTGGTCTCAAAATATATCCCGGCCATGGGAAGAGAGTGGTGTTGAAAGATGGCAAGGTTTGTTTATATGTTATGATTGTATTTGTATTCTCTTCTAGCTGTATAACCTCTGTGGCAAGCTGTGGGTAGTTTTGTATGCAATAATTGACCTCGAAATGGTATAGTATTTGTATCTTTAAAAACTATATGCCTTTTATTATGTTGCAACATATATGTGTATATGATCTATCATTGGCCTACACTCTGTTTAGGACAGGCAGGGAAAGATTTTTCATCAGATAGATGGCATAGTATTTCAAAGCTGACGTATGCTATTGCTAATAAAGGCATAGAGTTAATTTGGTTTTGGAATCTGAAAAGGATAATGCATAGGTCATGTCATATTTTATTAAAATTTCTGTATTTTGTATCTTTCCAGACTTTCAACTTTTTGAACTCAAAATGTTGTGCTTCACACTTCATGAAGAGAAACCCTCGAGAAATTAGATGGACTGTGTTGTACAGACGAAAATACAAAAAAGGAAACTTGGAGACCATAACCAAGAAACGAAATCGTAAAACAGTGAAACATGAGAGGGGTATTGCTGGAGCTACTTTAAGTGATATTCTAGCCAAGAGAAATCAACCCCCAGAGGTCAGAGCTGCTCAAAGAGAGCAAGCTATCAGGTTGGTTTTTGATTGTCACACTTCCTTGCCCAGGTTTCTATAATGTAATTTTATGTGATCTGTCAAGCCAGACATTTGTTATATTTTGGGGAAAAAGTTTGCTTAAATGACAAATTCTCTTCTTCAAGGCATTAAATGACTTACGATTTTCCATTTCTGAAGGGATTCCTTAAATATTAATCGCTGTATTTTTTTTTCAGAGCCCAAAAAGAAAAATTAAGAGCACAGGCAAAGAAGAGTGCACCTGCAGCTGTAAGTAAACTATATCTGCTACCCTTTTGAAATAGTGTGTCTTTTTAAGCCATGACAATGTTGCTGCTTGATATGGAATTGGTACCAGCAGAATTTTCTGGGCATATGCTTTACAGTGTCCATTTTTCTTCCAATGGACATTCTTACTGATGGCTAATCTGTGGTTTGTACTTAAATTTACTTTTATTTGTTTATTTACAGGCTGCTGGAGCTAAGAAAAAGGGAGCAAAGGCACCCCCAAAAGGTGGCAAAGCTGGTGGAAAGATTCAGAAGAGTGTAGCTAAATCGGCACCACGTGTTGGTGGCAAGCGATAAGAATAAAAAAAAT